GCCCGGCAGGGCCTCCTCCCCCTTCCCCAAGGGGATGGCGGTTAACCCCGGCGGGAGCTGCGGCGGAACTCTGGCTCTGCCAGCGGCTCCCAGGGGTTGGCTGGAGCTGGGAGGAGGGCGCTAAGGCTGCGCTAGGTTGAGGAGCCAGACTGTTAGGGTGCTTCAGCTCCAGACCGGCCGGAAGTTCAGGAAGTCCCGCAAAGCATCACCATGTCTTCTACCCCAGACACCTGCTATATTGAGGTGTAATACCTTCTTGACCCGTTTTAGCTTTTCCCAATCCCTTCCCTTTTGTTCTTTTCAACTCCTGTGAGTCATAACACAGAATCTTTAATTTTTAAGGATTTTAAAGTTGGAAATCTGCTTGGTAAAGGATCGTTTGCTGGTGTCTATAGAGCTGAGTCCATTCACACTGGTTTGGAAGTTGCAATAAAAATGGTAAGAATATGTTAATCAGCGTTTCTCTTGTACTTTGCAAGTAGAGAGGTGTACTATGTAAGATGTGACAAACTCCTTACCTACCAGTATTAATTATGTAAAGAATATAGTGCACGGATAACAGATGTTAATGCTAAGTTCAGCAACTGAGCTTAAGGACATTTTAGGAGAGCCTTAACCTTGCTTGAACTTTCTGTGTTCATTAATGTTCAGTACACCTGGTATATGTTATAATTATGCAGACTTGGAATTATGGGTAGATATCAAGTAAATAATTTTTTTATAATAATACATTTGGGCTGGGAATGTTGCTCATTGGCACTGCACCTGCCTGAAAAGCACAAGGTCCTGAGTTTGATCCCTGCTTGGTACGGGTGGGGGGGATAATACCCTTGTGTCAATTCTTTAACAATCCAAGATATTATTCTTGTTAGAAATCAGTCTACTACAAATAAACATAAGAAAATTAAGAATTACTGTTTAAAGCTATTGGGAGAGGAGAAAGGAAATTTGATTTTAAAACTTGGGTGTACATATTTGGACTTTCTTTTTCTTATGGATAAGATAGTTTTACTGAGAAGTTGCTTGAATTGAAAGAGGATGTTAGAATACCTTGGGCACACCCAGTTGAAATGTGGGGTAGGAGTTAGACAACAGTGTGCTTCAAAGAATACATAAAAGGACTTTAGACTATTTTAAATAAAGATGTACTTTGTTTTCAAAGTTGACTTTTAACAACTTCATATTTGAAAATTTATTGTCAACATTTAAGATTCTATTATTTTTAGATAGATAAAAAAGCCATGTGTAAAGCTGGAATGGTACAGCGAGTGCAAAATGAGGTGAAAATACATTGCCAGTTGAAACATCCATCTATCTTGGAGGTAAGGTTCAAGATTTTTGTTGTTTGTTTTGAGATAAAGTTTCACTGTATTGCCCAGTGTGACCTCAAACTTGTGATCCTTCCCACCTCTGCCTTCCCAGTAGCTGGGATTACAGGTAGTTGCCACCTGGCCCAGCTATGAGATTCATGTTTTATACAAGTAGCCAAGGAAACAGAATTTTTGTATATTGTAATTCATTACAACCTTTCACATTTCAGCTCTATAACTATTTTGAAGATAACAATTATGTATACCTGGTCTTAGAAATGTGTCATAATGGAGAAATGAACAGGTATTTAAAGAACAGAATGAAACCTTTCTCAGAAAATGAAGGTAAGCTTCTTCCTTTTTTTGGTGGATAAAATCCTACTTCTCAAAGTGTGGTTTTGAATAATGTGCTACTGTGTAATATTTAGTAAAGTTACTTCAATTATTTAGGCTAGAAAAGGAGGTCTTTACCTCCAAAATAATGTATGACTTATAAAGAATTCAGATGTTACAGAAATAAGAAATATGTTATCCTATCCCAAAACACATTTTAAATTAATGGTAGCAATTTACTGTTTACCTTTTAAATCTAGGAACTTTTAAAAATGCCACTGATGACTGTAGTTCCTTAATCAAGCACTAATAACTACTAAAAACATTTACTGTAGACATTGTGAAACATATGAGTAATGAGACCCCTTAAAACTTATCACTCAGTTATCAAAAACTATGGAATCATCTACACCCTTCTTACTCCCATAACTCAATTGAATATATATAAGTTATTTGATATCAAAACCAAATAAGGTTCATATATTGTCAAACTGAGTGATCTTGCCCTCTTAGCTGAGATTGCAGATAAGCTAAGAAAGATGGGTGCTGAAGAACTTTTGGTACATTTATATGTATCGGAGAATAATTCAGTTTATATGCATTTAGTTATAGAAATGTTTATATCCTTTAACTTAAATTCCGTTTTTAGAAGTGTATTCTGAGGAAGTAATACAAATTGGAAAAAAAACTCCACACACATATTGGTGGTGATTACTGTATTTTTCAGACTATTTTACAATTTAAAAGGACTTAGTGATGTTAAACAAGAGAATAAGCAAAGATATAATGAAAAAAAATGATCAGTTAATTCTCAACAAAGTTAAGAGACAAGGATAGAAGGAAATATGTGTATGATGTATGACTAATGGTTTCTGGATGTAACTCAGTGGTAGGGTGTCTGCCTAGCATGTACAAGGCCCTGAGTTCAATCCATAATACCTCCTGGAAGAAAAACTACATGTATGGTCATGTGTACATTTTTTGTGGATAGTCATACGTGTACACATTTTTGTATATAGTCACGTATAAATGTATATAGTTGGAAATTTTATATAAAAATGTAATGCCTAAAAAGAAGAGATAAAATAGAAAAGTGATATAGGCAGATAAGTCACAGAGAACAAGTATAAATATCCAATAAACATAGGAAAAGATGTTGAAATGCAATAGTAATCTGAAGATGCTATCCAAAATTATGACATTACCATTTTAAGTGGACACTACTTGATATTAACAAGGATGTTCATGAAACTGTAGACTATTTAAGAATAACTTGACAAGATATGAAAGTAGTAAATTTTTCTAACTTTCAACTCAGTGATTCTACATCTTGACTGAGATGACCATCATAGAGAAACCATATACATAAGAAAGCAAGCATGTATAAGAATGTTCATTGCTATATTTTTTAAGCTGGAAAAATTAGAAATGATCCTAATATGTATTAACAGCAATTAAATAAAATCAGTATCAATGTTATTGCCATAGAAATATTTGTTTGGGGAGGGCTGAGACAATGTCTTGCCATGAGGTTCATGCTGGCTTTGAACTTGAGGCAATCTTCCTGCCTCAGGCTCTCCAGTGCTGGGATTACAGCATGTATCACCATGTCTGACTGAAATATTTGTAAGAAATATTGTAAAATGGAGGGCTGGGGATTTAGCTCAGTGGTTCTGCTGCTTCTCAAGCTCAAGGGCCTGAGTTCAATCCCTGGTACCAAAAGAATAAAAAAGGAGATAAAGATAGTTAAACTGTATATTTTTATACAAATTTATATTTTAAGAGTATTTATTTGTGTGCCTATAAATTCTTTTTTGGGGGGCGGGGTATGGGTTTTTTTAACAATTGGTATATATATATATGGATTACCTATACAATTAATATTTACTTTTCGAAAATAGGAAAAAATGAAAACAAAGCTTATGAACATAGGGGAGGAGGCTTGAGGAGGGGAAGGGATAAAATAAAATTTATTTGAAAGAAAAAAATAACTTTATTGTTATGGACTTCTGGTTCCCCTTACCTTACCCTTACCTTGCTAATAAAATTTAGCTTCTCTTTTTTTTTTTTGGTGCTGGGGATTGAACTTGGGTCCTTCCACTTGCAAGGCAGGCCACCGAACCGCTGAGCTAAATCCCCGGCCCTAGCTTCTCTTAACTCTGTGTAAAAAGCTCATCGGTTTATTATATCACCAGAATAATATTTTGGTTGGTAAATCTAAGTTCTGAGCTATTATTTTAATCAGTGTTCTGGCATATGTACCTGAATTTCATAATGTATTTGAAACATTGACTCTTGGAGATTTTTCTCAGTGGTAAATTCTCTTTTGCACCCTCACAGCTCGACATTTCATGCACCAGATCATCGCAGGACTGTTGTATCTTCATTCTCATGGTATATTACACCGGGACCTAACACTTTCTAATCTCTTACTTACTCATAATATGAACATCAAGATTGCTGATTTTGGGCTGGCAACTCAACTGCAAATGCCACACGAAAAGCACTATACATTATGTGGAACTCCTAATTACATTTCACCAGAAATTGCAACTCGAAGTGCACATGGACTGGAATCAGATATTTGGTCCTTAGGCTGTATGTTTTATACGTTACTTATTGGGAGACCACCTTTTGATACTGATACAGTCAAGAACACATTAAATAAAGTAGTATTGGCAGATTATGAAATGCCAACATTTTTGTCAAGAGAGGCCAAGGACCTTATTCATCAGTTACTTCGTAGAAATCCAGCAGATCGTTTAAGTCTGTCTTCAATATTGGACCATCCTTTTATGTTTCGAAATTCAACAAAAAGAGATTTAGGGACTGTAGAAGACTCAATTGATAGTGGACATGCCACAATTTCTACTGCTGTTACAGTTTCTTCCAATACCAGTATAGGTGGTAGTTTATTTGACAGAAGAAGACTTTTAATTGGTCAACCACTCCCAAATAAAATGACTGTATTCCCAAGGAATAAAAATTCAAGTGAATTTTCTTCCGGAGATGGAAGCAGTTTTTGTATACAGTGGGGAAATCAAGAAGAAAGCAGTAACAGTAGAAGGGGTAGAGTAATCCAAGATGCAGAAGAAAGGCCACATTCTCGATACCTACGGAGAGCACATTCCTCTGATAGATCAAGCAGTTCTAATAGTCAGTCTCGAACAAAAACATGTGGGATGGAACGGTGTCACTCAGCAGAAATGCTTTCAAAGTCTAATAAAAGCTCAGGAGTGGAAGAAAATGAAGATAATGACAATATTTTCCATTTCTTTAAAGAAAAAACATCCAGTGGTTCTGGATCTTTTGAAAGACCGGATAACAATCAAGCACTGTAAGAATAATTCTTTCAAAAGTGTTTTCATTTGTACTAGCACAGATATGAAGCATCACCTAAATGAGGTTTACCACCAATTAGTGCCTTTCTAAAACACTTTGTTACTGAGGCACTTTATATAATTTTCTTATAGGAAGAAAATTAGAGTAATAATTTTAAAATATGGTTAAGATAATTTTTAAAAGCGTATGTTCAGCTGAGCATGGTGGCACATGCTCCTAATCCCAGCACTCGGGAGGCTGAGGCAGGAGGATCACCAAGAGTTTGAGGCCAGCCTAGGCTACATAGCGAGTCGGGGCCAACCTGAACTACAAAGTGAGACCCTGTCTCAAAAATCAAAACAAAAACTGTGTTCATGAGTGTGTTTATAGCATGTGTCTAATTCTTGATAATATTTAATTTCATTTTTATGTGGAGCAGGACTCCAGTTAAAGGCACTGTATATTTAGTCTGAACCCTAAAGTATCCTGGTAATAATTGAATAACTGTACACGTAGAGAAATAGAAGCTGAGCTTAAATGATAAGCAATAGTACTGTTTCTATTAGGAAAACTAATTTTTCTAGTAAATAAGATTTTTTTTTAATCTGATCGACTTATGATTTTTCTGCTTGAATCATGAAAGGGCAGTGACCATGTGGAAACTATCACATGCCACGGTCTTTTGGAATGTTAATTCAACAATTTAGAGATGATTTAACTATACAAATACTGTTTCTCATATTCTAAAATAGTATTCAGCTATCTTTTTTGTAATATTTTTACCTTAAACTGTTGCCTTGAGGCTGAAGATATAGTTTGATGGAGTACATGTTTAACAAATGTGAGGCCCTAAGTTAGATCCCCAGCATCAAAAACAAAAAAATTGCCTGATAAATTTTTATTAGTTTATGGGAATTTTTTCTCCCTTTAGCTCCAATCATCTTTGTCCAGGAAAAACTCCATTTTCAGACCAAACACCTCAGATCGAAATGGTACAGCAGTGGTTTGGGAATCTGCAAATGAATGGTAAGTTTTTGATGGAATATTTATTTATTTGCAAAACTTTTATTGGTACATTTGTGATATACATAATGATAACATTCATCATAGGGAATTTGTACCAGTACATGATATATCTTGCTGCTGCTTTTTTTCCCCATTTCCCCCCGTCATGTAAAAAGCTTTGTTTTTATTTTTCCTTCAGCTTTCTTTTTTTCCTTGTCTCCTTTCCTCTTCCCCCCTCCCTCGTTCCCTTCTCATTTGAACATTTTCTTCCCATTTCCCAGTGTTTATTGTATATCTTAGTCCTTATTTCCACTTACAGTTTCTCACACCAGACAAACATGCCGTGTTTAATAGATTTTTTTGGAGGGTACTGGGGATCAAACTCAGGTCCTTGCACTTGTGAGGCAGGTGGCAGAACCACTGCGCTAAATCCCTGGCCTCAATAGAGTATTTAATTTTAAATTAATGACCTAATTTTGACCTTATTAATGACTTAACAAGCACTCTAGTTTTCTATTTTCATTTTCTTAAGAAAATATTTCCCATAAATGTTAGTAAAGCTGTGTAAGTGATAAAACCATTCGCATATTTTGAATGGTTACTGTAAGTCAGCTGTTGTCCTTAAAACTAAATGTACATGATTGATTTATTAAATTCTCACCAAAAAAGGGGGGAAGACGCTGTCACAATCTGTACTTTACAGACGAGTAAACTATGCAGAACTCAGTCTGCGCATGCTACACAAATGTAGAGGAGCTAGCATTCCAACCCAAGCTGCCCTGACACAGAAGCCTTTTTCCTAAGCTGTCTGCTCTTGCAGCCTCTAGTGTAAGCACCTATCAGGGCACATAAAATAAGCAAACAGTGGTTTCCCTTTTTTAAATAAAATTTTATTTTTATAGTACATATTTGCAGTATATAATAATTACATTTATTTTGTGGAGTTGGTACATGTACATAATAAATCTTAATTTTATTTATATCACTTTCCCCTTCTCTCCCTCCTGACTTCCTCTGTCACTTGGTCTCTTCTTCCCATTTGCAAAGGTATATCTCCTTGTTTCCTATTTTTATTTTGTTTAATGTTTTTATATTTTGGGTTTCTCATATAAGAGAAACCATGCAATATTTAAGGTTGTGCCTGATTTATTTCACTTAACAAGATGTCAGAGTAAATCTATTTTCCTATAACTGACTCCCATGTATCCTGTATAGCAGAAGAGACCTTGTTTGGGGGTAGAAGCTGATATGGAAATTACAGTCTGCCAATGTGATCTCACACTAAAATATACAGCTACTAAAAACCTTTTTGTTTAAAACATTTTTTAGCAGCTGTCATCCAAGTCATTATAGATAAAGAGCGTGATCGTTAAACACTCCTCATTCATGAACATAACAGATTGGGAAATAATGATAGAAAAAGAAAAAACATATGGAGGGAGGAGATAGTTTTTAAGTATTGTATTACCTCACAAAGAGTGACTGTAATTTAAGCAGAGTTGTTATGTCAGCTCAGGAGACTATTCCTTTTTTTCAGAAGAAACGTAGGTAATTTTTAGAAGCCCAAAAGAAGATTAATCTTTTTTGTTCCTTGCTGGAGATATTTCAAGTTCATTTTGTAAACTATAAATGTGTCACAATTATCTTGCGCCTCTGTTGTGGTCACAGGTGTATTTCTTTGAGAATACAGACTTGTCTGAGAAATAACTTTGTTTGTAATAATGTAGTGCTGCTGTAATTTTTAAATATTTGATACAAAGTATTTTTTCATCATGGTGAGAGTGAGGGGATCCCTACATAACTTTTAAGAAAAAAAGCATAATACAGTTTTTTGAGTATGGAAAAATTACCTTACAGAGTTTTATATAATTTAATCATGCAAGGTCCTTTAAAAATAAGGTTTAGTAAGAATTTTTTAAAAATATGAGTGCCAATTCATGGTAATATTAAATAATAATATTAAGGCTACAGTGACAAGTTTTTTCCCTTAGCAGCTTTTCTTAAAATAAAATACTATAAAGGTATTCCTTTGAGATTGGTTTACAATGTCCCTTTTATGTCACATCTTAAACTACTTTTTAATTAGAAAAATTAGGAGCTCTTGTTTTTCTACTAGTCTTCAAATATGTATGTTTAAGGTATATAACAATGTTACAAAATTCATATATAATAAAATTATATATGCATATGACTAGTGGAATTAACACTACTATCTCTCATGTAGTTACACATGCCCTTTGGTAATAGAGGCTATATTTGACTCATTTAGCACAAATCCTGAATATAGTACACTATTGTTTTACTAGAATTTGTTTTTGTTTAAAAAATACTATCATTAGGCCAGGGATTTAGCTCAGTGGTGCCACTGCCTGCCTTGCAAGCGCAAGGTCCTGAGTTCAATCCCTGGTTAAAAAAAAAAATATATATATATATTCAGCACATTAGATGTAGCTTCTTAGTTATTTACTAAACTGTCTTTTTCTTTGTATATTGTAGCTCATTTAAGAGAAACTACTGAGCACAACAACGTTAGCCCAAACAGAGATTTCCAGGGCCATACAGATTTGCGGGACACATCAAGAAATGCCTGGGCTGATACAAGAGTCAGAAAAGGCTCTGGTGCTTCTGATAATGCACATTCTATAAAGCAGCCGAATACCATGAAATATGTGACGGGACTTTGTGGTAAACCCGAGATAATTCAGCAAGAACCTATTTTTGGCTTAGATCCTCTTTGTGAACAAAGCAAGACTAGGGGTATGGAGTCAACATTTGGTCATCAGAAACATTCGTTACGAAGCATTACATCTCCTTTGGTTGCTCACAGGTTAAAACCAATCAGACAGAAAACCAAAAAAGCTGTGGTATGTGTATTTTTCTTTTTTTTGTAAGTTTACTCAGGACCTTGCACGAGGCAGATGTAGTGACAGTGCACTAAATCCCTGGTAGTTTCTGAGAGTACATTTTTTAGTTCACTGTAATGTCCTTGGACTTTGGGGTATGTAACCTGATTAACTTATTTAAAGCGAAAAGAGGTAAATAATTACGGAAAGTAGCTCTTTTTTCATTCTAGCTTTTTAAGAATGGTGAATTGATACTCATAGGTTTTTATTTTAAATTATTGACTTAAAAATGAAAAATTACTGAATGAAGAGTATTTCGCAGTATTGGCTATAAACTTAAAATATTATTTTACCTGCAATTCCAACCAGTGAATTGATACTTTTTATCCCTTTAGTTTTTATTTCTATATGTAATTTAGTCTCAAAATGACAAATGAGAAAACACAACTTTTTTTTAAACAAAACTTTAAAAGGGCTGGGAATGTAGCTCAGTGGTGCAGCACCTGCCTGGCAAGCATGAGTCCCTGAGTTCAATTCCTTGTACAAAAAAAAAAAGATTAATAACTAAAACTATTTAAAGAAAAGATGCATGCACATTAAAAGTTTAAAATTTATCATGTGGGAAGTGGAAATGGTGATTGGTCCTGTTCTTCGTTTCCCACTTCACCCAGTCTTGCCTTTGTTTGGCTTCCTTATTCTCCACCCTACCTTCTGCTCACTGGTTATTATTTTACACTTCATTATATATCCTCAGCTTTGTACCTTCTGGCGCACAGTTGTGAACCATTATACCTTCAGTCTAAACTGCTGGAGTGAAGCAGCTGTTTTATTTTGACTTTCATATTCATTTCTACTATGGTTAAGTATTTTCTCTTAAGCAGCCTGTGTGTCAGAGATGTTGTAAACAAGAACATTTTTTTGTGATTTCTGTTTTTTCTCTAGGTGAGCATACTTGATTCAGAGGAGGTATGTGTGGAGCTTCTAAAGGAGCATACATCTCAAGAATATGTGAAGGAAGTTCTTCAAATATCTAGTGATGGGAATATGGTAAGGTCCTTATTTTATTATCTTGCCACTTCAAATCATTTAAACATTTGGCATATTGATTCATTTTACACTGAAATCTTCAAATTTGTTTAAAATCAGCTTTCCTAATATTAAAGTGTCTCTAGAATTCAAAAACCAAAGTAAGATGCTGAACATTTTAATAAATCAGTGCAGCTTTAAAAATAATTATAGGTCTCTTAAGTGAAATAAATTGGACACATATGTTTAAATATCACACTGTTTCTCTGGTGTGAGAAACTGAATGTGGAAATAAGGACTGAGATATATAATGGATGTTGGGAAATGGGAAGAAAGTATTCAAATGGGGAGGGGGAGGAGGGAGAAAGGAAGGAAGTAACAAGAAAAAAGTGAAAAAAAATGGAAACAGCTTTTGTACATAGGGAGCAGAGGGGACTTGAGGGAATGGGATAAAATAAAAATTATTTTTAAAATAAAAATAATTACAGGGCTGGGACTCACTGGTAGAGCCGTTTTCTGTCATTCACAAGGCTCTCTAATCCCCAACACTGCAAAATATAAATAAATAACTAATAAAACAGTGTAAAGTCTTGGCTTGAATTTAATAAGCAAACAAAACCCCCTACTTTTAGAGAGTATTTTAACATTTTTATGTTACACTTTTACATTTGAACCTTTTTCATAGTTTTTGGTAAAATAGTGCATCTTAATAGTGTCTAATTAGAAATCTTAAAAAAATTTTTTGGCAGATCACTGTTTATTATCCAAATGATGGAAGAGGCTTTCCTCTTACTAATAGACCACCCTTGCCTACTAACAACATCACTAGGTACAGTTTTGACAATTTACCAGGTATGTAAATTTACTAGGAAGTAAATTGAGTTAATAAATTTATATATTCATAAATTCTGTTCCTATTGATATGCTAGGTTATCCATGTCTTGGCTTTAGTCAGGCTGGTCATGTTCTTATACTTTGTGTCTGATGGGATTTAGTGTGCCTTATTAATCCAGTGTTTACCATTCATATTTTGTGTTATGCCATTGCTACTTTTTTTTTTTTTTTTAGGCCCTACTGGAGTTGAACGCAGGCAAGGAACACGCCATACTGTATCCCCAGCCCTTTTTAATTTTTTTAAAATTTTAAGACAGGGTCTCACTAAATTGACCAGCCTGCCTTTGAAATTGAAATTCTGCCTCAGCCTTTTGAGTAGCTGGTGTTACAGGCCTGTACCACTATGCCTGGTGTTCATTCCATTTATCTGAAAATAACTAGAATATTATTTAAATGTTACACAAATATAATTTATGCACTTGTTTAGTTACTAATCTGGCTAGAATCATGTTAAAACTATCAAGTGTCTAGTTTTAGACTTTTGAAATCATCGCTGTGATCTGGTTCAGCTTCTGGACATTATGAATTGGGGAAATAAGTACTTAAGACATCATTGAGTTAACTTTTAGAAATGAGAAAAAAATTTAACCCTGTTAGAAATCAAAACAGATAAAACTCTATGTCAATACTTTCCCAAATATTGAGTAATTTTTCTCCCCTTAGAAAAATACTGGAGAAAATACCAATATGCTTCCAGATTTGTACAGCTTGTCAGATCTAGGTCTCCGAAAATCACCTATTTTACAAGATATGCTAAATGTATTTTGATGGAGAATTCTCCTGATGCTGATTTTGAGGTTTGGTTTTATGATGGTAAGTATTATTTAGAAGTGGTATTTTTTCGTTTTGTTTATAAATAAATAGTATCATGTGTGTGTTTTTAATTCATAGAGAGTTCTTGAGATATTTGTAAATAAAACTTTATTTATATTTACCTGGCACAGTGTACTACATGTTAAATCATATTAACCAACGTTTGTCTATATGTACCTTCCTGTAAATAATTTATATATACATATATTGATTGCTCCTCTTTTCATTTTTTCTTTCCCCGGCCACTATTACTCTCCTTTTTGTATTAGCTCCAGTTTAATTGCATCAAGATTGATGATATACAAATTGCATGAATCAGCAGTATTTCTAACTAGAAACTCACATGGTCATTATACAATTATAAATGCGGCTAAAAATATTTAATGGACACATTGTCTAGATATTCTGTAGAGATAATTTACTTTTTGTGCTTGCTTCGGCAGCACATATACTAAAATTGGAATGATAGAGATAATTTACCTTTTAATTGAAGAGCTTTTAAGGGGTATATATGTACACTTATTACACAATAATATTCATCATTATAGTTGTCTCATCCAACTATATTTTTGTATAAGAGTGATTTTTAAAAATACCATAAATGAAAAAAAGTCATAAATATATCAGACATAAAGCCTAAATATTCCAAAAAGAAAAATGGATGGCCTATATTTATTGAATACTTTTGAGGGACTCATTTTATTAATGGTCAATAAATGAATATAAATGACATCTTGATCTGAGAGCCATTATTACTAGTGTGGTAATGAAATAAATTATGAAACAGCAGTTTTCCTGTGTTTTAGGAGCAAAAATACACAAAACAGAAGATTTTATTCAAGTGATTGAGAAGACTGGGAAATCTTATAATTTAAAACATGAAAATGAAGTTAATAGCTTGAAAGGGGAGATAAAAATATATATGGACCATGCTAATGAGGTACATATCTACTTGTAGGTTTTTTCATTACAAATTACATAGGTGAAATATTGACAGCACTCTTTTTTTGAAATAGGGTCATCGTATTTGTTTAGCACTGGAATCTATAATTACAGAAGAGGAAAAGAAGAGTAGAAGTGCACCCTTTTTCCCCATAATCGTAGGAAGGTAAATGTTTGAAAGTCTTAAGTATGTGGCTAAAATATACAGGGTTTTTTTGTTTGTTTAGTTGTTTACATTAGAAACATTCTTTAGTTTTATGTATCTTGAAAGCTTTAAGGGAATATATTTGAACATTGCTTTCTCCTGCAGAAAACCTGCTTGTACTCATTCACCCAAGGCTTTACCCGATTCTCCTATGGATCCAAGCAGCTCAGTGAGAGATGGACCATCTTTGAATAAATTGGTCAGGAGTAGTGCTGCTTGTCCCTCACAGGCACCAGTACTTAATCCTTCTGTAAGTAAATGTGTGCCATTTCTGTAGTTTAAACCTTTCGGTAATTGCTAGATGCCTGTCTTAATAAAATTAAAATGTGGGGAGATAAGAGTGCTGGCTTAGTGTGTATAGGTCCCTGGGTTTGATCCTTAGCACAAAAAGAAGGCTTTACTGTTTGTTTAACCATTACCTACCTCATATCAACCTCATCTCTTGCTATTTGAACCTCAAAGGCCTTCTTTACGTCTTTAAATAAAACAAAGGGCCTTTCACATGGTAGGTACTTGACCTATTAGCGAGGGGGGAAAAAGAAAAAAATCTATCAAAATGAGAACAACAAATATGTAAATATGTTTTTCTTTTCTACATTTTCATTGTTTTCAATAATGTGATTATATTTTAATTTTAAAATGTTTCTTTATAAGGGATTAGGGTGTGGCTCAGAGGTAGAGCATTTGCCCAGCATGTGCAAGGCTCTGTGTTACATTCCCAGCACCATTTTAAATAATGGTTTTTTAAAAATTACATAAAGCTAATTAATATCCAGTAATTTTATACTATTAGGTTGAATTATGAAATACTAAGGAATATATCTTCCTGTCCTTTACTGTTTTTTTTTTGTTGTTGTTGTTTTGTTTTTTGTCCTTTACTGTTTATAGGTAGTTACAGCTGAAGGACTTGGTCAGATAACTACAGCCTCAGGAACAAACAACTCTTCTAACAGTCCAAAAGATTGTCTTCCTAAATCAGCACAGCTTTTAAAATCTGTTTTTGTGAAAAATGTTGGTTGGGCTACACAGGTGAGAAGTTTCTAGGAAAGTGAATTTTCTCTGTGTGAATTTCTTTTGGTTTTCATGTACATTAGATAGTTACCCTCTCAAATTTATTTGTTTATTTTAATGACTCCTCCTTACCAGGATGGTTTTATAATTTTTTGTATTAATTATATCATTAAAAATATTGGCTTTTCAAATTTATAAGAAGCACTAGATATTGATAATAGATTATCTGTTAAGGCCTGGATGACCAATTTGTGACAGTTGGGGTTTTTTGGTTTGTTTTTTCTGTTTTAGTTTTTTTTTGGTACTGGGATCAAACTCAGGCCCCTGCACTTGTGAGACAGGCATGGCACCACTGAACTACATCCCTAGCCCTGATGAAACTAGACATAGTCTTTTTTAATTAATTAATTAATTTTCTCATTGAGTTTCTTGGTACATTTTAGGTATACAGTACAGTTACATTCCTCATTGGGATCTTGTATCTTTACATGACAGGTCTTGGTTCTCATTTTTTCCCCTTGTCCCTGCCCGCCCTTCACATCCTCACCTCCCGATTTACAAACACTTTCTTTCCATTTTTTCATTTTCTCATGTTTTTTTTTTCTTTTCCCTTATTACCTTTCCCCTACCCTTCCTACTTCCCCTACACCTTTAGCCCTTTTCTTCCTATTTCACATTGTCAATTATATCATTAGGATCTTATGTACCATTATAGTTTTTCACACCAGAGAAACTATTCGGTATCTTATTTGTACATGTGTGACTTATTTATTTCACTTAGGAGTATATCCTCAATATAGAGGGGTGGGTACCAGGGATTGAACTCAGGACCTTGCACTTGTGGCCAGTTGTTTTTAGGGTACAGATCATAGCTGGGTACAGGTGTACTTATTTGTAATCCCAGAATTCAGGAGGTTGAGGCAGGAGGATTGCAAGTTTGAGGCCAGCCTGGGGTACATACTGAGACCCTGTCTCAAAAAACTTAAATAAGGAATAGCAAATAGAGGTCATAATGATAGATAACTGATGAATAGAGAATTGTGTCCAGGGCATTTTATTTTATTTTTGTCATTGTTTTTTTGGTACTGTAGATCAAACTCGGTACCTTGCACTTGAGAGGCAGGCAGCGGAACCACTGAGCTAAATCCCTGGCCCATAGTTTTTGTTTTTTTGTTATGGGGGTCTCACTATATAGTTCATGCTGGCCTGGAACTATGCAGTCTAGGCTGCACTCAGACCTGCAGCGATCCTCCTACCTCAGCCTCCCTGAGTACTGGTGTGTGCCACATTTTAAATTTTATGAACTAATCTATATGACTAGAGTAACTTTAATCTGGCAAGGAAATTTTTTTATAAAGTTGAGTGCACATGCACTTCAAATTTACAGAATTTTTTTGTAGATATGAATGTACATGTATATATCTGCAAGCCTGAAACTTGGAGACTTTTGAGCATGGTACATGTGCTTTTACCTCACTAGTGAAGAGAGGTGCACCGAAGTACTTTATGGGAGTAGGTGATGTTGAGTACTTGACATGTGGCACTGTTTTTCGCATATACTGTCTAGTTTATCCTCCAGAATAACAGTGAAGTTGATGCTGTAATTTCTTAAAGATAGTGAAATTAGGACTCATAATGGTATGATGCTACTTATAAGTGGGCAGAGTCTAGGTTAAAGCTGTGTCTGTGATTCCAATGCCCATGGTTTTTGTTTTTTTTCTCTCATGTTTCTCTGTGTGGAGTATGACTAAAAGAAGTAGCTCCAAAGACTTTGATGTAACATTCTTAGCAATGGAGAACTTGAGACCTAAGGGCAGAGTTGCTTTTGTTAAGTCCCTTCTTGGTATGAAATTCTATGGTCAGAGCGGAAAAAACAAAACAAAACAAAACAAAAAACCCTATCAGATATCCAAACGTAAATTATGGGAAACAGGATTCATTCAGAATTTTTTGTAACTATTAGAAAAACTGTTAAATACTTTTTAAGAACCCCAGATCCTCTACTGTATAATCATCCTGATCCTTATTACTTTTCTAGCTAACTAGTGGAGCTGTGTGGGTTCAATTTAATGATGGGTCACAGCTGGTGGTCCAGGCTGGAGTATCTTCTATCAGTTACACATCACCAAATGGTCAGACAACTAGGTAAGTTCTTAAAATATGAGTCAGCCCTTTGCTATAATTTTGCTTTCTTGGCTTCTTTTTTTTTTTTTGGTACCAGGGATTGAACTCAGGTCCTTGTGCTTGTGAGGCACATTTAACCACTGAGTTAAATCCCTGGCCCAACTTTCTCTGTATTTTGAAGTAAATGATTTAATAAAATTACTGTCTTTTGCTATTTCTTTTCTTTCTTTTTTTTTTCTTTCTTTTTTTTTTTTTTTTTTGGTATCTGGAATCGAACTCAGGACCCTTGCACTTGGCGAAGCAGGCAGCGGAACCACTGAGCTAAATCCCTGGCCCAAAGTTATTCTCTTTTGATAGTCACGTTCTTTAAACTTTTCATTATTCTTAGCAGTTCATAGTCTTTTTAATGCATGATTTATGATTATTTGCATTAATTCAGGGAAATTGGTATGAATAATCCAGGCATAATCCACTCAAATTATGTGGTTAGATTCCATATAGCCTTTTCAGCCATAGCTTACTTTGGCCCTTAGTGTACCTGTTTACTTAAAAGAACACAGAAACAAACAAAAATCTTTAGGAGACGATTATTTTTCCAAATGAAAGGCTATACCACTTAAGGTAAAGTGATCAATGTTTGAAAGACTTTTTTGAATGTGAATAGTTAGCCTTCTATACAGAGGGTGCTTCATCCCAGCAGTTAACTAATAGAGATTGGAATACTTGAAAAAAATTACATATTTACTGAACACATGCAGGTTTTTGTTATTCCTTAAACAATATAGTTTAGCTGTTTAGGACTTTACAGTGCTTTAGTTTTTTAGGTTTTTTTTTTTTTTTTTTTTTTTTTTTTTTGTAGGTGCGGGGATCAAACTCGGGACCTTGCGCTTGCTAGGCAGGCAGCGGAACCACTGAGCTAAATCCCCAGCCCACTTACGTTGTTTTTGACGCTACAAATAATCTTTAGTTTATTTTGGTACTGGGGATTGAACCGAAGAGTGCTTAACACTGGGCTGTATCCCAGCAATTTTTAATTTTTGAGACAAGGCCTTACTAAGTTGCCCAAGCTGGGCTTGAACTGCAGTCCTCCTGCCTTAGCCTCCCAAGTAGCTAGGGTTACTGGCTAGTGATGACTTTAAAGTACAGGGGAATGAGCAAACACTATGCCATTTTATATAAAGGTCTTGAGCATCCTGGGAGTTTTGTATCCAGAAGACACCAAGGGAGAACAATATTCGTGCTGTATGAATGTGTTCCAGCTATCACACTAAAAATTAGGAATCTGGCCATAGCAAGAACCTCATTTAAACCATAACTTACTAAAAGAAGGAAGTACTTGCTTCTTAGCCTTTTGGCTAAGATCAGGTGTAAGAGGAAGGTACTGACAGTGCCGATCCAAGATGCTACTTCATATGAAGTTCGCCTATTGTAGTGGAAATACTTGGGGCAAATATAATTTGTGGCCATCTCTATTCATTGCTTTTTCGTTAAATATGCATATATGTAGCACCATCATTTAAAGAACTATATTTACAGTAAGAGGCTTTGTTAAAAGCATTTTCAAATGCTCTAGGAAGTGGAAAGATGCAGATAGAAAGTGAGTAACCCATGTTCACAGGGAAAATTTGAGATTTTTATTTACTGTGATCATCTGGAAATTTTTAGCATTTAATAATGCATTGCTGGGCCAGGGATTTAGCTCAGTGGTGCTGCCGCCTGCCTCACAAGAACAAGGACCCAAGTTCGATCCCGAGTACCCCCCCAAAATGCATTGCTAATGTATTTTACCTTAGTATTTTCTTTAGAAGTAGGGTCTTCATTTTAATGGAGAATCTAGTCATAGCTTGCTTTATAGATTATAGTGAGTTCAATATTTTTATCAAATTTTATTTTTATTTGAATGTTTAGAAATTGTCTTGGGGGGTGGTACTGGGAATGGAACTTAGGACCTTGCCAGGCAGGTGTGGCACCACTGAGCTACATCCCCGGTCCAGTTGGTTGGTCTGTTTGTTTATTTATGGTACCGGGGATCGAACTCTGGTCCTTGTGCTTGCAAGGCAGGCAGTGGCACCACTGAGCTAAATCCCCGGCCCCCAACTGTTATATTTTTAAAAGAAACAAATTGAGTATGTCCTCTTGATTAAGGTATCTACTACTCTTAATAAATAATTGTATAAAGTTTTCTTAAGGTGCCTGTTATTGAAGAATTACTGAAAAATATGCTTTTGGTACTCTTTTAAGAACCAGGTAATTATGTTTTTACCTTTTTCCTATTTCACTTAGGTATGGAGAACATGATAAATTGCCAGAATACATCAAACAGAAATTACAGTGTCTTCGTTCTATCCTTTCAATGTTTTCTAATCCAACTTCTACATTTCTTTGATTAAAACTCTTTTCAGATTATCTATATTTAATAAATAACTGATTGGCTTTCAAATAAAGTGATTCTTTTTTAATATAACTTCTTCAGAAAGCCTATTAAAGCAAATTTGAATTTATACCATGAAGAATATATGCTGAGAACAAAGTTGAATGAAATTTGAGTCGCTTACCAAATACGGTGATCATAAAGTGAAACAAGATATCTAATTTTGCTCTGAGGATGTACACCTGCAAACTTATTCTCCATATGTTTGTATTGTACAATTTTTTTTAGAAGCAAAAATCTAAATGGTGTGTGGTGTGTTTGTATTTTTACTGTTTTCCTACTCAGACATGTTGAGAATCATGGATAAAATATGCTGTAGTTTTAGAACTTTCTATATGTAAATAATATGTATTTATAAGTAACATGTAAACATGTATATTTGTTTTATATTTATTTTTGTAGCACCAGTGTCTGAAGAAACAATTCTTGTATTTTATAAAAAATAAACAATGATAAGTTACTTTATCTTTTGACTTATTTACTTTAAGATAAAGTAATATAAACTAAGTTTTTAATTTTGTTGCCTATTTATAAAGAGCCAATTAAATTTTAAAACTTAACTCTTTAAATATTTAGAATCATTTCTGGGGCCAGGGTTTTAGCTGTGGTTCTGCTGCCTGCCTTGCAAGAGCAAGACCCAAGTTTGATCCCCATACCAAAAAAAAAAATCATTTGTTTTATCTGAAAATATCTGTATATTTTAATGCTGAAGAACTTCATGATACAATTAGCATGAAAAGAATATTTGATAATGGAGCAGCAATTCCTAAAGATTAGACTACAACTCCTTAAATATGATATTGTTTAATGTTTCTTGCTGGTTTTTGTAATCAGAGTATTAGAGCTCTTTTTAGTAGGTAAGTAAACTATGTCACAGTTTTAGTACTGTTTTGCAGAATTGTGGCTAAGGCAATGAAAAGAAAAAAATAATTATAATTACAACATAAATTGCAGAGTTAAAATAGCAACCACCAGCACAATAGAAAAATGGACAGATAAGGAATAGATTGTTCATAAAGGAAGAAATCCATATGATAAACAAAAATGGAAATAAGCACAACCTCATTAAAGTTGGGAAATGGAAACGTTAAATTGGTTAAAAAACAACCTACAAACAGGAGATTCTCAGGTGTTGTTAATTAATATAAATGCTAATACAACAGTATCTTAGAATTAACATTTAAATTCACTGCTAATCTTTGGGGGAGAAAAGTAAAACCTAGATTAAGTATCAGAGTTAAGAGTTAATCTTTAAAAAAGGAAATAATTCCTGGCAAAATTTTGAAGTTTAAAAACATTTTACTTTAACAGAATTTAACTATGTATTACATAAGCTCTTTCCATCTCTGTAAGTCTATTTTTTTAGGTATTTCTCTTATGCAAATACATAGCTACATTTTATTTTTTAATGCAGTTTAGTAGCCACTAATCTAATTTTATATTTATTATTTCTGGTGTATTTTACTGTTTATCTTTACAGTTTAATTGGATGTCTACTAATTTTGTATTGTGTACTATATTGTGACTTTGCTTTATGTTTTCACTTTCACTGTCTCATAATAGGGTGTTTCCTGTAATTTTTTTTTTCTTTAGGACATGGATAGTGATAATTTAATATCCAATGTTTACAATATCAGGACTATGAAAATACTCGGTTGAGCTGTCCTATAGAATTATATTACTTGAACAATTTTTATTTTCTGGAGTTATTTGCTCCAATATATAGGTAATCTGTGCCTTTTCAAGACATCTTTCTTTTTTTGGGTACCGGGGAATCAAACTCAGGTCTTTGTGCTTGCGAGGCAGGTGTTGGAACCACTGAGCTAAATCCCCGGCCCAGTCTTTTTTCTTTTCTACCTTGGCTGATTTCCCATGTATAAATGTAATTTATTTATTAGTTACATTTTTTTTGTTGGGTTTTTTTTGTTGTTGTTTTGTTTTGTTTTGTTTTGTTTTGAGACAGGGTCTCACTGTGTAGTTGAGACTGACCTGGAACTCACTATGTAGCCCAGGCTGGTCTCGAACTCACAGCGATCCTCCTGCCTCAGCCTCCTGAGTGCTGAGATTTCAGGCGTGCACCACCATGCCCGTCTTTTTCTGTTGTTTTTTGAGACAGGGTTTCACTATGTAGTTGAGACTGAATTGGAATTCACTATGTAGCTCAGGTTGGTCTTGAACTCAGAGATCCTCCTGCCTCAGCCTCCCAAGTGCTGGGATTACAGGTGTGCGCTACCACACCTGGCATCATTTACACTGTTGATGGATCTTTTGAGTATCCAGATTTTGGCTGTAAGACATTCTGGTACACATGCACATGAGTTTCTGTAGGCTTTTACTCAATTTGCTGGATCTGAGAAGTGTAATTTCAGACTTCAAACTTCAGTAACTATCAAATGCTCACACTTCTACCTGCAACATATATATATCGTTGCAAATCCTCACTAGAACTTGCCCGTTTGACATGTATAGAATAGAGTATTACTAGCTGAGCGTGGTGGCACATGCCTGTAATCCTAGCACTTAGGAAATCACCTCAAACTGGAGGCCACCCTGGGCTGCATATAGTGAGTTCTAAGGCCAGCCTGACCTATATAGCAAGACCCTGTCTCAAGAAACAAAAAAAAGGAGTAATGTATTTCTGTGCTTTTAAATTTGTACTTCTCTCAAAATATCAAAAACATTCAAATATTTTATTGGCTATTTTACCTATCCTCTTGAGACTGGTCTATTAATATATTCTGCCTATTAGCCTGTCTGGCATTTTCCTAGTGGCTACTAAGATACTATATATCTTTTGTCTATTGATATGTTACACACAAGGCTTGTCATTTAAGCTTATTTTACATCCTATGTGAATTGTTAACAGTATTTTATTTAGAATTAGGGCCTTTAATGAGTAATCTAGATTTTTTTTCTACTTTAGCTAGTTATGACTTCGTCTTAATCTCTCGTCTATCCACCTTAGAGCTTTTTCGTTGATGTCGAGGCAGGGTCTTGCTATGTTATCCAGGCTGGCCTTAAACTCATGGCAATCTTCCTGCCTCAGCCTCCTGAGTGTTGGCATTAGAGGTATGCCATGTATTAACATGCCTGGCTTTGGACCTATTTTTAGTTCTGGGAAACCTTCAAAATCTTCCCACCTCTACAACTCTGCACAAACTATGCCTTCTGCCTGAAATGCATTCGTTCTGTCTTCACCAATCCCAGTTATTCTCCTTCAGATTAGTCTTTGCTAGTCATTACCTCCTTCGAGAGATACCCGTTTCCCTCTTCATGTCAGGATCCCTGTATCTTCACTGTCCTTCCCTCGGGCCAGTCACCTGTAGAATGTGAATGTCTGACTTTCCTGCTGGTACATAAACCTCACGAGGGAGAAGCTGTGTGTATTTTGTTTATTGCTCTGCCCTCAACAGTTACATAATACTTGGCATGTAGTGTGTGCCCCCTTATATATATATTAAAACTACAAATGCATAAAGTTCTGGGACGAAGGTACATAGATAAAATCTTTATTAGAAAATGAGCAAACAATGTAAAATAGACATAGTTACAGGTAAATGTGCAATAGTAAAATGGTACCCAGAAATTTCTTCTCAAGTTAATATAGTTTTGAACAGATATAGGTAGTTTACCTATGACAAAATAAAAATTACAAATTTATTTCATTTTATGCAAAATAGCTATATGAAAGCTTATAAACTGGAAGAGTATTTTAAATTTAGTCAAGGTTAACGGAATAGCTAGAATAGAGATGCTTTGTGGGGTTATAAACCATTGCAATTATGAAAATCTTGACTTTAGGTTTTCCAAAATAACATTCCTTAAATATGTACTATTCTTAGTCATTGTTAATACCTTAAAGTCTCCCGTCACTTTTTCAATTTATACTCGTTTTATCCTACTCAAGACCTCAACTGGGCCATTTGTTTCTCAACTCAAAGGTGATGTCCCTACTCTTTCCCCAAACCCATGTCACTTCCTGGTCTTCTCTGCCATGACACACTTTGGTATAATCCCCCAAAGAGAGAGTCTTCAACAGAGAGGAAAGTGCAGTCACTTTTGTAAGGTTACAGTATCTGAATTATAATCAGTATAATAACTCTTCAGATCTGTCTCATTTTTTTACCTCCAAAATTGGAATCATAATGGTATCTTCACTCTATAAAACTTGTGAGAATTAAATTTTACGTTACACATTACCAGTTATAGAAATATTTGCTCTTAACATTTTCATCACTATTATTTCATCATTCAGAGTAGAATTTACTCTTCAGGACTAGAAGAGTCCCAAAAAGTGAAAGCCAGAAGGACTTAGGACAATAGTAAGAGGAACTGCAGGACTTGACCAAAAAGCCAAAATCCTGGCTATGGTTCTGATGAATCTACTCGAGTGTTGCTATGGGAGGCCAATACTAAAAACAATCCCCCAATCTCCACATTCAATACAGAACAATTTCTAACAGAGCAAACCTTTTATTACTGCTGGATAAGTGGTTTGAGAGAACAGCAAACTTAGTGTAAAGAGCAGATTATTAGTGTTTATTTAAAAATATAATAAAGTAGGAAACTTCAGGAAAAATATTTTAGCATTTTATAATGCTGATTATCCATACAATTTTTTTAGTGGTGTGTGTTGTTTATTTTTGAGTACTGGGGGTGGGGGGGTTGAACCCAGGGCCTTTGCAATGAACCATATCCCTACCCCATTTTTCCAATTTTCTGTGTCACTGAGTGGCCCAGGCTGAGCTCAAACTTGTGACTCTCCTGCCTCAGCATCTCAGAGCACTGGGATTACAGGTGTTCACCACCACGCCCAGCTCATGCAGTTCTTTACTAGGGATTTATCAGCATTCAACTCACACAGAGGTAGAAAGGTATACACACTTTTGAACATAAATTCCAAGCTACATTATTTCTGAAAAAGATCAGTATTGCTAAGTGACTATTACCTTGTGTCAGCTTGAATTCCTAGCGGCTAGAGCTGGAAAGGATCTTAGAGATCACAGACCAGTCTCATACAAAGGTGGTAACCAAAGTACAGAATGACCTGCCTGCTGGGTGTGGTGGCTCACACCTGTAACCCCAGCACTTCGGCGGGGCTGGTTCCGGAGGATCGTCACGCTTCAAGGCCAGCCTAACTACGTAAGGAGAGCTGGTCTCAAAGGTAACGATATGCCCAGCATTACAGGTGGAATAACGGGCCAACAGAGTTGTTTATATCCTCCCGGAACACGCGTGTATGGAGATCGTATGACAGGGGAGCTGAGACTGCAGAAGCGGGAGGGGCGCAGCTCAGAGGTGGAGCCCTTGCCAGCTCTCCTGAGGTCCTGGGTTCCATCCTCAGCACCACAAACAGGGCGA